AAGATGCTTCTGCTCCCAAGGCTGCCTTCACTTTGCAGCAGCCTCTGACTCATTAGGAGACAAACTCAACACTCAACATTGTGCCAACTTCTGATGAAAATACAACCTTCTGTCTGTCTGTCAGATGGTTTGGTAAGTTCTGGGAGAAAAAGTATTGGATGAATCTGAGCACGCTTCATTCAGGACTCATCACAATTTCAGCAGTACAACCAATGGGTAGTAGCAAATTAGTAGAAAAGGGATGAGATGCAAGTACAGTATAAGAGCTGGCTGTGTCGTAACCAGAGAGGAAGTTAGTTATAAGCATTGTTCAATGCTCTAAACTTGGAGCTCAGAAGAATTTTCTGTGATCCCTATGATATCATTGCTTTTCAGTTCATATTTATCCCTGGACAAAAGCTAGGAAGTTTTCACTGGTGTCACTGAAGATGCAAATAACATGGTAAAATCCTAACATAATTTTGTTAAAGATGAAAAAAGTAGTTTGATTCTCAAAATCCTCCATGAGTTCACGGTGCTTTTAGAGCAAGAAAGCCATGGATGGATGATGTATATTTAATTCAGAAATCTCAGAGAGGCAGTGAACACCGACACATCCACACACAAAGCAATACTTTTACAAAGTGGTTTTCAGGTGGACTGTAAATGTGTGCTGTAAGAACAAAACCTTACCTGGGATTAACAGAAATAAATATGTCTAATTTAAATTTCAGTTAAATGTGCAGATACTACTGGACATACTACTGTACAGAAAAAAATACTTTTATGAGGTTAGAGATAGCTTTATGCCACAAAATTGCAATGCATTCATGTTGTGGATCCACAATAGTGAACTCACAACAGTAATCCTACTTTAATCACACATTTTAAAAAATTCTCTCTGTTATACCTTATGTTTAGCTTGAGGGACGTAAAACTTTTCACCTCAATTTTTATTTTTAGATCAGCTGCACACATTTTTCAATTGTGGTTTTTCTTCATTCATTCTAATCGTTTTCTTTAACTATTCAGTTTATTTTCTTTTCAACTATGTTTTTTTTGATTGTCAGCATTCCAGTTTTCCTAGATGTTTAACTTCCTATTTTATATTTTTGAACACTGTACTGAAAAAAAAAAAAAAAAAAAAAAAAAAAAATAGAGGGAGATCTGTACTCATTACATTTGCTACCTGGCTTCCAGACTGTGGCATACTTTGTGGTCAGGAGTATAAAGCAGAGAGTTTTCCTGTTTTCCTTGCTTGACCAGAGTGCTGCTTAACAGTATTTATCTCCCTCCTGCTTTGATACCAAACAATACATTTGCATAAAATGACTTGCCCAAACTTTGAAGGCAAGGTTGTGTGTGTTGTCACTGTAATTCAAAAGAAACATTGAGAAATACATGTATCAGAGCTGCTATATATAATCTCAGCAAAGGAAACATATTGCGCAGAAAGCAGAGGTTTCCTCCCCAGGATGGAGTGTGTCAGCCCTATAAAAGGCAGAAGAATATCCAGGAACCTGACACATCAGAGAAGGAGGAGGATTCAGAAAGACGGCATATATTACTATTCCAAAGAATACAACTTTCATGAATTACAGGAATAAAGACTGAAAAGAACACCAATGATCTAACTGGAAGTCTAGAACACCTGGATGACTGTATATATTATTCTCTAATTCTTGAGAAGTATCACTGGAGACATTTAGACGCCAAGCTGCTTTGAATATCAGGTAAGTAGTTTGTTGTTATAGCCTGAAGTGTCGTTTTCCATCAGCCTAAGAGCTAAGTTAATTGTCAAGTGGAAATGCACCAGACGTTCACAAAAGACTCTCATAGGTTTTTTTCAAGAAAGCACCAACCTCATCAGCAAATTGGCCTGGAAAAATTTGAAGATTAGGGAAAGAGTATAAAATAAAACATTATTAAGCTAAAACTTTTTTTTTAAGTCTTCTGGAAGAGAAGATAGATTTTGTGGACTAAGAAAGTAACAGGAAGTTAAAATCAGTCTAAAAAGTTTAAGGACATAATCTATTACTGTGATGACAGTTTCTTTACAGGATGTTATTGGAGAGCTATTTCACGCTCCTCAAAATCACCAGCCAACCTCTTTTGAAAATAGCTAGGATTCTCTACTAAGTTTTCCAGTTCCTAAATGAAACTAAACCAGAAGACTTTTAAAGCCTGGCAATAAAAGCTACCCTAATTTTCAGTAAAACTCAATCTCTGACATACATCTGGAAGTAGGACTGCTCCAGGCAGAGACCTGGAACAAAAAGCGTCCTCGGATCGGCCCTGCACAGTGGCACTGCAAGAGCCACAGTGAAAGTGATTCAGCAAATCACAACTCTCGCACTCCTTTCGATAATTGTGCCTGGCCTAACGAGGTCCTTATAGATTGTGTCTTACAGAAACATCGTAAAAAGAGAGTTCGCTAGAGCAGCAAGTGAAGCACAAGTCGTATGGAGTCATCACCATTCCCTACACATAAAAACCACATCATTGCATTTCTATGCAAGCTGGAGCTGCTGCTAGCTGCTTTTTCCAGACGTGACCTGAAAAACACTGCATAGGGGCAGCCTAGTATGGCTGGTACAATGGGGGGCATAACCCTAATAGCCACTTTGTTCCTCCTAATGGTTTGTTCTCCCCTCTCTCACACCCCAGAGATGGAACTGGTGTTAGAAACCAACCAAAAAACTAAGATTTGGGGCCCAGATTTCATAGTAACAGCTGTGCAGAATAAAATTAAATCCATGTTCTGGACTTTAAATACATTATTTTTAAAATCTTTCTATCTCCCCCTAGTGGCCCCAATAGCTTCTTAGAAGCAATATAATAAGCAGAATCCTATTGATCTCCAGATGTTCCCACTTCCTGAGAAAAAAGCAGTCATTGGCCTGCCTTCGTCCTAATTTGGGGGCTTCACAAAGAAGGAAGAACAAACCTAACCAAAATACCCACGCCCTCATAAATCAGAAAAGTCTTAAAATGTTACAGAAAACATTTGCCAGAACCAGGTGTTCAATCTACACAGATCTTCAAAAGGACTTTCCCAGAAATCTGAATGAAATTAAAATATCACTTCTAGGAAGCCTTATTTGGACACTAAAGACAGCATTGCTAAAAGCAGGCTACCACCATGGCTGCCCTCATTTTTAACTTCTTGGAACTCCTCGGTCTGATCAGCTATCATTTCAGATAAATGCAAAAGTCATTTTGCACTATACCGGGAGTAGAATTGATACGCATGTTTTTAGAAATTATTTTATAGACCTTCCCCCACCAACACTAAAACCTGATAACAGAATTATCTCTGACAAATACAGTATAGCTGCCTTTATAAACATGATTTTACTAAGAGGTAATTCTCGAAACACTTCTGAGCTACAAACAAATTTTACAGGCTGGATTTGTCTTTTAATATTAAAAGTGCATAATTTGGGCGGGCTGCACAACACTACAGTGACACATTAGTGCTCAGATGCAGATGTTTCCTAGCGTCAACAACTACTTTCTTCCTGAAGTTCAACTACTAAATTCATATTAAGATGCCAAAACCACATTGTTTTTCAAAGTGTTAAATGTATATGTATGCAAAAGTTTTCTTTTTAATACCAGACTATTTTATGCAAAAAAAAAAAAAAATCTCAACTTTGTAACTAACAGTCTTTATCCATTAGCCACAATTCCAATGAGAATACAATCAAGGTTATTTCTAAATAGAAAGAAGTGGCAAACACTGATCTGCCTATGCAAAAGAACATGGTTTTTTACTGTTCCTTCTATTTTAGAGCCCAGAATGATATGCTGTTCTCTGCCAAAAATGACTTGCAGGGAGAAAAAATGAAACCTACAGGTCTTCCAAGTAACAACAACAGGCTAGAGGCAGAGATTAAAATATATTCACAATTTTTCAAGTCTCAGTACTAAACTCCTTTCATGAGATTGTACTGCTTCTCTGCACATCTGATGTTAAACATCTAAATAGAAATTTAGGAGCTCAACTTTAGGTACTCTGGTTTTGAAACTTGGGGAAAGGCTAGAAAGGGAGGAGAAAAGAAGAAGCAGTGGTAGCTGCAGTCTTGAACAAAAGACAGAGTTTGCAGTTCAGCTTAAGAAATGGAAAAGATTCATGCCTCACCTAAACCTTTCATATGGAAATCATTTATGGGATAGAAGCCAGTTTTCCTCAGGAAAATGAAACACAACAAAACCGACAGCAGTAAATGCAAACAATTGTCGGATTTTAAGAATTACACAAAGATCATACTCTGCTGGATACAAAATAAGATACACCTTTAAAACAAGATAAGCATTTTATTTTCGCTCATAAAAATGCACTGTGATGCATTTTATAAAGACATACAGATAGACTAATTTTAACCACTTCAGGAGTTTCAATGATCATCTTAAATACCTGCATATTACTCTTGCTATCATTAGAAAAATATCACTACAGATATAGTAAAGAGGAGCACTTCAGTCCTGGTCCCAAATACTTCCTAGGTAATAGAGGTAAAAGTATAAGACAGCTCCAATTGCACCTACAGTTTCAGAGGTGTTTCACTGCCATTTAAAAAGCCTAAAATGCAACATGCGTGTTTACACACGCACACACACAAACACACACACAGGAAGTATATATTGACACCTATATAATAAAAAGTATGATCACAGTTTTGTGAATTTGACACTATCAGAGCAACGACTCTGACTTATGCAGGTCAAAGTGTTCTTCTGTATTAATAATAAAATACATGTATAACCTAATGATGTCATCCTGTTGCTATATTGTATTTCCAGACACATGTAGGGTTGCAGTGCATTTAGAAGTATTGTACTGAAATGCTATCTGAATTGCATGCTGACTTAACAAAAAAAAATTGCTACAAACATCCTCTCAGAATTTGTAAATGAATTCTGCTTCCATTTCAATGTCTACATTACATTTTGTAACGAAGTTGGGGTTTGTGCGTGTGCGTGATCTGGTTACCTGTGACACATTTGGGAGATTTTACCTGTCCAACCAAGCCAGCAGACTTTTAGCTGCTCCAATCAGATCCACTACTGATGTCAGAAAATCATTTGGTAACTTGCGGCTGGTCCTTCCATCATAGTGACCACTCCTCCTCCTCCCAGTGATGAAGTTCTGTAGATTTTTCGCAGATGCATTCAGTTTGTGAGAAAGGGTTTTTAGATTTTCTGTTTCCAAACCATAGTTCTGCATTGAAGAAAAAGACAAAAAAAAGAAAGTTAGCCTTGCAGCTGAACATGAAGTACCAAGAACAGCAAGACTGCTCTTCTGCTTCAAAACTTAACCATTCCTAATAATTAAGGTAGAAATACACCCACTCATTAGTTTTTAAATGTATGGCATGTTCTGTTTCTAAAGTGCATAAAAATAGAACAAAAGAAGAGCAAAATTATGAGTGATCCCTTAGCTGGTTTTACGTGCACTGAGAGAAACATCTCAAAATGAAGAAAAAACGTAGCCTGGAACACTGATTTCTCAAAGCAGTGCATCACTCTCAGTTGATCTGATGGTTCTCTCAGTAGATCTGATGGTTAGGGATCAGTCCCTTGTGCCCGTACTCACACCGATTCCTAAGATCGTACTAGGCAAGAGGGCTTGCAACTAGCAGAAGTACACAGTATGGACACAGTGTGACACCAAATTGCTTTTGTTGGTTTCAGTGAAGGAAGCATGTTCATTACCTTCTTTTTATTCCTGTTAGCAGTAAAGGACCACCAGAATCACAGACTAGAGAACACAGCGCTACTCTGCACAATGTCTGTGTTGCCCTTTTAAAGTCAAGTTGTAAATTTTGCTTCCATTTAAGAGTCAATCTCTCAAACTTAAATTATGTTCCTCAGCTGTGCAGCAGAGACAGAAATAATTATGCAGAAATATTAACAAATAGTACTTGAAAATCCTTCAAATAATACACAAATGTTGCTGAAACGGCACTAGAGAATGCCCTAATTTAATGTTCAATTACAATATAATATAGTACTGTCAGTGATTTGTTATTTGTATAATAGATTTGTTTTCCTCACAAATGCAAAGAATAATAGAGTTATTTCAAAAGAGATCTTTTGCTTTTGTAAAGGAGTAAGCAATTGCATAGACTTGAACTTACTACTCCTGTAAGAGAAAGATGGGACTTCTGAAGGTGCTCCTCGCCTTAACCACATCACAGGGTTGTAACAGGGGATGCTCACAACTTGTTCAGTTGACGATGGAAAGGGCTACTTACTATCGAAGGTGGACCATTTCCTACCACAAATGGTGATGAAGTAGGATGTAGAAAGCCCCTCAGCTGCACACAGAAAAATCCACTTCCTAACGACACCTCCTGTCCTCACTAGCTCTCATCCCAGGGCCCCAGTTTGGTCCCCACACTAATCTGTCCATAAGGAGAAGAGATAGGAGAAGGGATATATTTGCCAATGCTAACTGAAGGCTCATGAAGCTTATTTACCTGTCTTTTTTCAAAAACCAGAGAGAGGGAGGGAGGGGGGGGGGGGGGGGGGGGGGGGGGGGAGGGGACGGGACAAGATTATTTACAGCAGTTGTCATGCTCCTAATCCAAACCATCTACTAAATGAACTTAATCTCCTCTTTAATTATACAGGGCCTGCAGGAAGATTACACTGAAGCCAGGTCCAGTGAGCCCCCAGCCCTTGCACAACGTCTACTCCCAAGCAAATGGGAGATCATTGCGGAAAGGAGTGACTTCAGCACATGGCTTGTCTTCCGTCTCCCAGCCAGACCCTCTTCGTGCTTGTAAACCAAACACACTTTGTGAGGGAGCCGCTAAAACGACAGCCATCTTTCCGCAGCAGAAGATGCACTCTGGGACTCGGCTTAAGGGGGAAGTGACTATAAGCTAAGGTTGCATTTTAAAAATCTCTGCTGTAACTTCTGAGAGCATCCATATTTTGGGCAAGGAAGGCTTTGCGGGCATGTTTCTCAACTGCACAGTTTCTGCGTAGGCGCCATCCTCTGCCACCACGCTCAGTTCCCAATTAGACAAATTGTATGTTTGGGCAGTGGACTTTTCCACCATGTAAATATTCGATAGCAATTATACAACAGATAGAGTTAGGTTATAAATAAAAAATTACAAGATGAAAACAATAAATTAGGATGGAAAAGTAAAACGTACTTTATTATGCAGCTAAATGGCTCATAACTAATAACTTATTAAATCAGTCCAAATTAAAGAGATAAACATCAGATAAAAATAAATTTGTTTTTGCTGCGGTTTTCTGCGGTTGCTGTGGCTGAAAGAGCACGATGGAGATCGAGGACTCAGTAGGAACAAGTTGGGTGAAAAAAAACAGGTTCATTCTTATTTCATCCTGCTTCATGAGCACCTAGCTCATTTTGGCAAAATTAACGGGGGAAGAAACAAATAGAAGATATTCTGGATGAAAGATACATCACACAAAATGTCTTACAGATCAGCCAAACCAAAACCCCACCACAAGCGAGCCTCACGACACCCACACAATGTGGCGCTTACCTCCCCAAACATGGGGGGAATGACCGCAAACCACAGGCTGGCCACAGGGCTTCTCACAGGGTTTCCTTCTTTCTGACACACTGACACGTTGAACTTCTTAATTCAGGGGGCTGTTACTAAGAAGTTGAGTGCAATTATCCAAATACCACGCTTGCCTTCAAAGCACATGAGGTAAATGTGAGTTTCCTCAGCGGTCACCACGCTGCACCTCCCAGCACCCTCAGCCCACGCGTCTCGCGTTCACCAGTGCTCCGACACACGACCTGCGCTTCACGCCTGACCTAGTGGAAAAGGCCTGGCTCCCTGCTGCACATGGCTGCCCCCCCCCCGCCCCAGCACTGAGCCGGTCCCGAGCCGTGGAGGAGACCTCATCCCTCAGCACCAAAACTCGTTGTCCTTCGTTAAGCTGGGGGTGTGCGTGGGGAAGGAGCTGGCCAGGCCCGGGGCACCCGCTCACCTCCCCAGCCAGCGCAGGGCCCACGGCCGGGGGCCCTCGCACTGAGGCCCAGGCTGGATCCAAACGCTCCTCCTCAACAACCCCATATTACTTCACCTCCCTCTCCTTCTCCATTCCCCCTGCTTTGTCACCTTGTCTGTACTTCATCCGCTTAGAGAGGCGGGTGCTGGGTGCCAGCCACCACAGCGGGAACCCCGACAGGCAGCCTACAGCCCTCCAGTCCCACCAGAAAGTAAAACCTGCAATATTGAACACTGCAGACCAAGCAAAAAGATACCCAAAAATCTATTCTACGACAGGAAAATAGGGTGCATTTGTTTCATTTTTTTCTTTAGAAAATCAGCCCCTATAAAAGCTTAGTGGCCTCTTGTTAACATTTCAAGTGATGGCCACCTACAGATGTGCTCTTTTTCAGATGTCTTTTTTCACTGTCAGATATGTGGAAAGGAAGAGACAATGTTAACAGATACAAAGTCTATTTTCACACATACTCATCAAATGTGTATTTTCTTTAACATAAAAAACCTGAGGGACAAATGTAATGCCTAAGATACATATAAAACCCAGTCTTACATGAGGAATGGCACTGATTTCGGTAAAGCCTCCACCTGTAATACAAGACAGATACAGCCAGGGATAGAAAATACAGAGATAAATTTAAGGCAGAATATATTTTTTGGGCAGCTGTGTTTATTGAAGCCTTCAAGTAGAAGGATCCTAAAACAGCAGCCAAGCTAATAAAATCCCCACTTTGTTTATCACTAATATTTCTGGCCCACATTAAAAATGAACAAAAAGTTGCGTGTTCTAATACTGGGAAAAAAGCTTGCTCAAATAATAACTGCCAAGTTTAATCATACTTTATATGTGATAATATACTATTAACAATATGGTTTTCTTAGAAATACACTGCGTTTATTTTCAAGCAACGTAAGAAGATAATTGCAGGCAAAGGAGACAATTCTTTGTTTTCCCCTTCTCTACATTTAGCCGGCGCTAACACAAGTTATGCTTTCATTAGCCAAAATAAATTTACAGTCACTGAAAGAACCACAAAAAAATCTCTGCATGCTTGTAGAGATTATGAGAAGCGAAGCAAGTCTATGCATCCGCTTTCTCAACGAGAGGCCACAGAGCGAGATACTCTTCAGAGACACCCTGCCTCAACAGAAACAGCTCTAATGGAGTCTCTTCTGGCAATCACAAAACAAGAACTTGATGAAGCTAAGCTACACAGAGTAATAGCTTGTCAGCAGGTGTTCAAACTAAAGGTGGTGGGAACTATTAATAGACATTTTACCTGCTAATTACTTTTCTGTGGCTTCACATGACAGTGTGAGTGATGAATTGTAGCTCTTTTCTTCACATGCTGACAAGCAGCAGCTCTAATCACCACTGATTGACTTTTGTGGTTTTTTTTTTTTGGGTGAGGGGAGCCAGCCTGACTCTGCTAGCCCACCCTTACACCAGCACCAGCACTACAGGGTAGGAAAAGAGTTCGGTAACCAAACTTTGGAATTAAAGTGAACTTTTTTTGGATTAGCTTGATCAATGTCCATTAAGTTGTTCATTCCCACCCCCAATTAAAAACAAAAAATAAAAATTGGAGCTCATTTCATCTCTTCCCTGTGTTAAATTCACTTAACCCTTGCTGGCAGGGAAGTGCACCTCACACTGCTAGCACAGGTTAAAAAGTAAAGTGTTCCTAACTCATACAGTGCTAACTATCCCTGCTGGCTCAGACAGGATGTCTAGAAGCTGCTGAGACCTTTCGTTTAGGGTATTTTTACACTGCCCATTGCAAGTGCAAAGACATCTCAGCTAACTAAAAAAGCCAAGCTCAAGTCCCAAAAGACATCCGGATCTAAACACACCACAATATGCAATACAGACACAGCCCCATTAAAAAATCCAGAAATCCCTTAGAACAGATGTCTTGATCACAACTTTTATGCAGCCACGAATGCCTCTACATCTCCAAGTACAAAGGCCACATTAAGTTCAAGGACATTGTTTGACTCCTACAAACAATCCAAGATAGAGAAATGAGCATATGGCTCCTCTGCCTACCACCCTAAATAACTGTTTCTTCTCTATCAGCCCAGAAAGCTGCTGGAAACCATGTGGAGCGAAAGGCATGCAGCGACCAGTGCTAACTCTTACTGAAGAGACACAAGATGGGAAATGAAGATACTGCTGTAACACTGGTGCTTGGGGCAAAAGGAAAATAAAACC